GTCAAAAAATATACGGGATATGTAACGGGTGCTAGAGAGGAGGAATACATAACAGCTACAGTCTTTTAAATGGTTGTGAAAGTTAGGACTCTCATTTTTAATATACATGTATATCTTAAACCAACCAGAGTGAGTACACTTCTTAGCAAGTAAAAACCGTAACTAATACAAACATGCAGTCTTAATTCTAACTGGCTTAGGTGCTAAAATCACCTGAAGAAGTTAGTTTAGAGGTGGTGTGGTGGTAGTCTGAAGTGGAACGAAGAAAGGGATTCCATGTAAGCTGTTTGAATCTTTATTTTCCTCCATTAAGCCCCTTTATTTAGGATAAGACTTTCTTTTCATTCAACTAAGGCATTTTCTTCTCAAAGAAGCCAGATCCAGTCTCTGGAAATTAGCAACTTTCCATTTTAGCCTAAATGTAGAATGGGAACTTGACAGGTTCAATGTCACAGGTTAGTCTACTCAAGATGAGACACAAGTATTACTATGTGTATTGGTTAAAACCCTTTACGTTGTTGGCTGGCCACAGTGGCTCATGCCTGTAATTCCAGCACTTTGGGAGGCCAAGGCAGGCGGATCATTTGAGGTCAGAAGTTCGAGACCAGACTAGCCAAAATGGCGAAACCCTATCTCTACCAAAAATACAAAAATTAGCCAGGCATGGAGGTGGACGCTTGTAATCCCAGCTACTTGGGAGGCTGAGGCAGGAGAATCACTTGAACCCAGGAGGCAGAAGTTGTAGTGAGCCGAAATCGCACTACTGCATTCTAGCTTGGGTGACAGAGTAAGACACCATCTCAAAAACAAACAAACAAACAAACAACAACAACAAAAAACCTTTATGTTGCAAATAACAGAAAACAGAAAACTCAAAGTGAAGCTCTGGGGTTGGAGCAAAAACTGAACAGTCCAGGGATAGCTCTAGCTTCATGACAGCTTGATACAGGGCTCAAATGGCATGACCAGAACTCTCTGTTCCCTCTCTTTCAAGCAGATTTGTCTTTCATGAACCCCAAGTTGGCAGCTAGAAGCTCTGGGTTATAAAGTTGAAGTATAGAGGGTGTATTAATCTGCTCAGGCAACTGTAACAAAATACCACAGACTGGGTGGCTTAAATAACAGACATTTTCTCACAGTTCTGGAGGCTGGGAGTCCAAGACTAAGGTTGGTTTCTGGTGAGGTCTCTCTCCCTGGGTTGCAGACAGCCTCCTTCTCGCTGTGTGCACTTGGGAGTAGTGGGGGAAAGACAGGGAGAGATAAAGAGGAAGGGGATCTATCTCTGATGTCTCTTCCTCTTGTTATAAGGACTGTAGCCCTATCAATTAAGGCCTCACCCTCGTGACCTCATTTAACCTAAAAGGCTCCATCTCCAAATACAGTTCACATTGGGAATTAGGGTTTCAACATATGAATATGGGGGGAGGGTGGTGATGGGGGTAAGGACACAATTCAGACTGTAACAGAGGCAGTTAACAAAATCCATTTATCTAGCCGTCCCAGTGGAAAATCTCTTTGGCTTAGATTCCATCACATGCACATCTTCGAACCAATTACTGTAACCAGGGTGATGGGCTATCCTAGAGATGAAAGGTATCATCAATTTTAAAGAATTCATATGGCTGGAAATTGAGAAAATAGGAATTACATGAAAGAATCATCAGAATTCTCTTGGTGGGAATAGGAGGAAGGAATTCATGCTAGGATATTAGCTGATAAATGTCTACTATATTGGGATGGTGCACCCTTTCTCTGAGAGAAGATTTCCCCTATTTAAAGAAAAAATAGTACAGCAATAAGGCCCACTCAGAGTTCAAGCTGGTGCTAGACATTGTTAGTACAGGAGAGATCGCAGACTGGGTTTCATTATCATTATTACTATTAAACAGTCAAATCCATCTGCCTGGTACAATGATTCATTCGATATCTAATTATCACAGTAGAAGTTGTGACAATTCAATTTCCTGATCTCTTCTCATATGGCTCCTGTTTTTTTGTGGATCCTTATTCTCCTCCTGTGCCATGGATTAGGACAATCTCAAAAGTCCTGCACACACCCCTCTGTTCTCTCTCGAAGCTTTTTTTCTTCATCTCAGCCATCCCCCAAGTTTCAGTGACCACAACCTTTAGTGTAACTTTTATAACTTCATATTCCAGACCATACTATAAATCACAGAGCTCTACAGCTTAATCTCATTCTTATTTGCAGACTCTGTGTCTCAGAGTCCTGAGCTTGTTTTTGCTTGATCCCAGCGAAGACTAGCTTGCAGCTCTACTTAATAATGTGAAGGAACAAGAAAGCCTAAGTCATCCTCTAAGTAAGGATTTACTGTTTACTGTTTGGTAAATGTCTCTTCCACTAAACTCTAAGTTCGTTTAACACAGAGACTATTCATCTGTAGTGCCCAAAACAAATGATCATTCAATAAGTTCCTGTCAAAATATATGTAGATTTCAATACCATGTAACAGTCTAATCCTCTTGTTTCTTCTGGAACAGTCACGAGGAAATGATGATGAGTTCACTACAGGAGTCTATCCCAGTTCTGGACAGCTATAGTGTTAGGAATTGTAATTGAGGGGCACAGAATTGGAAGGGGGGTGTTGTTTCCCAGAATCGAAATTCCCATCCTATGCTTGGTGAATCCACTACCGTGTGAGGAGGCCAAGTCCCATCTCTCCTTTTGTCAATGGAAAATAACGGATACAAGGTTGCTGTTTTTTGCTTTTTCCTGACCTTTGGTATTTAGGCCATAGTATGCGGACCTTGCCAGAGTACAGAGATCTGCATCTGGTACTGTGAATCAGAAGTTCCATGTAAGTTATCTTATAAGGAGAACCCATCTAGAATTCATTTCACTTGTGACATCTAGCGTCCATTGGTGGTATTGGTGGCCTTGTATTCAGGCTATCCCTAAAGAATGACCTTAATTATGACATGGGTAGCCTCTGTGCCTTTGCTAATGCTGTCCCCTCTCCTAGAATGCACCCCTCCTTAGCTCTGCCATCCTTCAAGGCCCTGCTTGAAGTATCACATGCACTGGGAAGTTTTAAAGGAACATTCAGACAAAAAATACCTCTACCTTCACACAACTCCTTTAGCGTAGGGCACATACCACTTGTATAGCATTTACAGCCCTGTAAGTTCTATTTGTTTTTTAAAATCTCCTACTATATTGCGAGCATCTTCTAGGCAATAGTCGAGTTTACCACATCTCTGAATTCCTCCACTATGCCTAACACATTGCGGTCACTTATTAATAGTTTAAAATATATTTTTTTAAAATAGGATAGGAAGAAACATTAATAATATGGGGTATACCTTCTCTTGTAACAAAGGAGAAAAAATAAGTTCAGATCGATTTTAGATTACCTAATTGCAGCCAGTCATGACTGGCCTAAGCTAGAACAATCTTTTCCTGGTTCCCGAGTTAAGGAATCTTTGTTAAACGACAGGGAAAATGGAATTTGTTTCATTTATCCAAGAACATAGGCGTGATTACATACGAATGAGCGTCTGGTTCATTGGAGCCCCAGATCCATCTGTGAGACTACACTCCGAGCAATTTGTTGCCAATCTTAAAGCTCAGATCAACCCTTTGAGTCTGGCTTAGCTCAGGCAGAAATTGTAGTCTGCAAAGGAAACTGAGAAGAGGAGGGCAAGGAGAGAGAGTGTGGCATCCCAATACATAAAGACTCATATCAACGAGAGCAAGCAACTCTGTCAAATTTCACCGGAAGTGAGGACTAAATATTGACTACCGAATTTTGCAAGGTAGGAATCACTGGTAAACCTAACAAGAGCTACTTCACAGTATTGGTTGGGACCAAATCCTGGTTAAAGTGGGAAAAACAAACAAAAGAACAAAAGGTAAGAAAATGGAGATAATGGATGTAAAGATTTTTTTTTCCCCCAGAAATTTTGTTATAAAGGGAAGAAAACAAATCGGGTGGTTGCTGATTGGGGTCATTTTAAAAAATGAAATCATGAAATGATTTTATGGCAATCATTGCAGGAAGTTTATGAGCTGATAGGGAAGATCCAATAGAGAAGAAAAAACTGAAGATGCCAAAAAGAGCAGTTAGAGCCAAGTCCTCAAATAGGCAAGAAAAGATGGGCTCGAAAGAACGACATGATTCCTGTAACAGTTACTAGGACTCATCAGTGATCACTAAACGTTAGCTATTATTATTTCTGATTGCTTCAATTTTTGAATAATAGGCATCAAGTTTACAAAACATTATTATTAAAAACACATGCAAACAGCTTGGACTGCATTCAACTCTAGTTCTACCACTCGGACAAGGCACTTTTTCTCTTCGGCCTTTGTTTTACTCTGCAGAAAATGAGGAGTAATATCTACCTCATAAGGCTGCAGGCTTAACTGAGATAATCTGTAAACTTTAGCACATGGTGGGAACTCAAATGTTAACGCCAGTATTACCACTGGTAGGGTGCATGAGATCGCACGATGGTGCCAAAGGTGATTCTCTACCGTCCAGCCCAGCGACACTGTTCCCCTAGAAGGCATTGTCGTTAAAAAAAAAAAAAAAAAAAAAAAAAAAAAAAACACGAACAAAATACCAAAACACGGAAACTAAAGGCGGATACTTAGAAGACATACATGAAACCAGCCCAAGGTACAATTTGTAAGTTAAGGAGCCACCTCTGCGCCTGCGCCAAGCCCACGGCGCGCCGGTAGCTGTAGGAGGGGGCGGGACGCTGCATTGGGCGTTTCTCTTAGTTTTTCCTTTACGCGCGGCTTGGGCGGACATCTCGTGAGACGCGGGACTTCTCGCGGGAACTGCATTCAAAAAGCCCTGGCGCTTACCCGAGAACTAGCTGAGTGAATGGGCCAGCGACTGTGGAGTTAGCGTCCTAAATGAATGTGGACGCCCTGAGCTCCCATTAGGAGCCGCTGGCTGCGGCAGCAGGAGACAGGCTGAGAGGTAGGGGCAAGGGGCCTGGTGGATGGTGGGTGTGGAGAGCGGTAGTGGGGACAGTCGAATAGGCCCTGAAGAAAGCTAGGGGCCCGGGGTCTTGGCCGAGGCCTTTAGCTGAAACACCTCCTTCCCCGGAACCCTGGGGTCCTACACACTGGGTTCCCAGCCGGTCTAATCTTCGGTTGGACCGCCTCGCCGCCCTCAAGGATTCTGCTCAAATATGGAAGGCCGGGTCGGTTGCCGGGTACTCAAAACGATAACCGCCACTGGATCTGCGCTGTGCGGTACGGTAGCCTCTAGTCCGAACTGAGAAATGTGCAGATGGGAGATACACACTGGATTTCAGAGAGAGCGCACAAAGAGTAATATCTCACTAATAATTTTTATAATGGTTACATGTTGAAATGATAGTGTTTTGAGCGTATTTGGTTAAATATGTAAATTAATTTTTCATCTGTGTTTACTTTTTAAAACCTGATGGCTCCTAGAACATTTAAAATCACGTACATGGCTCGCGTTATATTTCTGCTGGACAGCACTGCCCCAGCCGTGTGTCAGATTCTACCCTAATTGCTTTTCCTTCGTTATCTCATTTAATCCTTTCAATAACCGATTAGGTGGGTGTTAATTTTGCTTGTTTTTATAGATGATTAAACAAGACATTAAATAACTTGTCAAAGTTCATGCAGCCAGTGAGTAGTGGAGGCGGGGTTGGAACTCAGGCAGTTTGATTCCCAGAGTTTCCTATCTCCTAAATACTTAGTGTGTGCTGTATTTTTGAGAAGCAGGACAGAAAAATGGTTGCAGCACCGGGGTTTGTAGGTAGATTCTAGTTCCCATCTCACTTCGCCTCTTAACTTGCAGGTAACCCTAAGCAAGTTACCTAAACTTTCTGTGCCTCAGCTTGCATTTATAAAATGAGGGAAATACCTTCAACCTCTTGAATTTGTTGAGAAGATTGAATAAGAATGTGTATAAAGCACCAAGCACAATGTCTGCCACACATTAGCTGTAGTTTTTAATCAACCGCGGCTCGCTCTCTTTGTAGATTGATAGGTTAACTCTTTCTCATCCATTTAGATCTCTGCTGAAAAGTTACCTCCTCAGGAATTTTTTTTTTTTTTTTGTCCATGTTCCCTTCTACACGCTGCCCCCCAGATTAGGACAGCTGCCCCTTGTTACACGCCCAGGTAGCATACATCTCTCGCGCGCGCGCTTATCATACTTATAACTTGATAGTTCAATTACTTGATTTAATGTCTTTTACTAACAGACTGCAGGATTCAAGAAGACAGGAATATTGTTGTGGGTTACCATTGTGTTGTCAGCACTAGCACAATGTCTGACACAGTAAGAATTCTAGCAAATCTTTTGAATAAATGAGAGCAAATTTTTTTTTGGCTTCTCTAGATAATGCCTGGCTGGAATGTCTTGAGGTTAACCCTATTTTTATTTTGGTGGTTGAGATGACAGTATTTACTCAACTCAGGCTTATCAAGAGAATTAGATGAGATAATATATTTGAAGCACTTAGCATGGCAAATAGTAAATCCTCAACGAATGTAAGTTATTGTAAACAGTACAACATTTAGTTGGCTGGCCCTATTATGTACAGGTTTTGAAAAGGTCTTGCATTTTAGAGCAGTGACTGCCAAACTGGGATTACCTAGAACACCTTTTTTTCTCTCTTAAAACCCTGTATCTCTTCCCTTGTCTTCATTCTCAGTTAAAGACCTTGCTTCCTAATTCATTGATAAATTGAAACAGTTAAAAGGTTACTTACACACACTTCCACCACTATACCTGCATATCAGCATCTGAACTCATATACTTTGCTTTCTTTAAATGAAATATCCATGCTTCTATTAAAACCAGTCTCTCTACATTAAACCTCATCCTGTTTATTCAGGGACATCACTAGCAATTCTCCTGTGTCTTCTAGATCATCAGTTTTTCTTCTCTCCTGGATTTATCCTATGGCCTACAAACACTGTTACTTTTTCCATCTTAAAAATAAACAAAAAACTTGTCCCTACTTCCTCTCCAACTGCTGCTCCATTTATCCGTTGTCCTTTGCAACAAACCTGTGCTTGCTATCTTTATTTATCTCCTACCATTTTCTCTCAAAGGCATTCTAGTTAGGCTTTCACCCCCACCTGTATATCAAAACTGTTCTTGTCACCAGAGACCTCCAGGAATTCAAATTCAATGGCCAGTTCTCTGTTCTCACCTTAATTGCCTTAGCAGCAGCATCTGACATGATTGATTACTTCCAGCTCCTTAATACACTGTTTATTGCCTTCTAGGACAACACATACTCCTGGTTTTCCTTCTACCTCACTGGTCACTCCTGATTCTCTGCTGTCTTCTTCCCTACCTCATAACAGGGTTTAATCCTTGGTCCATTTCTCTTTAAATATTTTTATCCTCTACAGACTGATAACTCTCAAATTTACATCTCCAGCCAAGATTCCTCTTATCATATATCCAGTTGCCTACTTGATGTAGTTCATGTTCAAAACTTGAATTCCTGATTTTCTTTCCAAAACATGATTTACATCAGTGCTTCAGCTGATGGCAGTTCCATTTTACAAGGTGCTCAGGCCAGAAGGCTTAGAGGCATTTTTTACTTTTCCCTTTTTCATACATTCCACATTATATCTTTCAGAAAATCATACTGGCCCTACCTTCAAAACCTTCACAATCTGGCTATTTCTTAACAGCCTCCTATGCTACCACCCTTAGTCTGAGCCATTTCACATGGTCTCTGCTTCCAGCCTTGTTCCCCTTCTAACTAGTCAACACAGCAGCCAGAATGATCCTTTTAAATTATATCAGATCCTCTACTCCAGACTTTGGAATGACTTCCCGTGTCACCCAGAGTAGGAGCCAAAGTCCTTAGGATGGCCTGATTTACCCACTCACTACTATCCCTTACCCAAGTTTAGATTTCACTCCATGGGCTTCTTCCTGCCTTAGAGATTCCCCTCTTGCTGGAACATTCTTCTCCTAAATAGCTGCGTGGCTGATTCTCTCATCTTCCGCCTCCTAGTTACATCACCTGTCTCTTCTTCCCAGATTCTTATTCTGTTCTATATTTTTCTCATCTCTCCTTTCTAATTTATTAATATTCTATGACTTATTGTTTATCTTCCCCTCCTGAAATGTAAGTTGCATGAAGGAGGAGCTTATTTTTGGTCCATTTTGTTCCCTAATGAATCTGAATTGCCCAGAGTGGAACCTAGTACATAAGGCATTCAAGAAATACTTGTTCAGTGAGTGACTAAATTGACTTGAGACATGGGGGAACATTTGTAATGGCCTGGTGCCCTTTGAAGGCAAAGGTGAGTTTGAGTCTTGCTTAAGAGGCTGGGACCAAATAGTAAAGGATAATTAGTAAGGTTGATTAAAGTGGAATGTTTCTATATATAATGTTTAAGTGTTTGTTCATAAATCTGGAATGAAAGCAACATCCTTTAATTCTTGTGGATATGGTTTCTATTTTTGCATACTTTTATGAATAACTAGAAAAATACTAGTGAATCTCTTTCCAAGAAAGCAGATTTAATATATACAGGAAGTTAACACTGTTGTGAAAAATTACAGACATGATATTCCTTACTTTACCTTATGAGCGTTATTCACAGCTGCCTTTTTATATTTTATTTATTTATAGTACCCAGACCTTCCTTTTCTGGCGGTATTATTGTTATTATTATTTTTCAAGACAGTGTCTTGCTCTGTCGTTGGCATGATCATAACTCACTGAAGCCTGTAACTCCATCAGTTTTCCCTCCTTAGCCTCCCAAGTAGCTGGGACCACAGGGGCATGCACCATCCCCACCTTATTTCTATTGATTGATTAGTTGAGATGGAGTCTTGCTATGTTGCTCAGGCTGGTCTCAAATTCCTGGCCTCAAGCAATCCTCCCCAGCTGCTGGGATTACAAGCATGAGCCACCATACCTGCTACTATGAGGTTTCTTGATTACTTTTTTTGTTATTCCCTTAATTTTGATTATATGGATAGTGGTCCAATTATGAGACCAACTTCACCTTAACATTTAAGGAAGTTTAGCATACAACAACTGAACAGTTTTCTGATAGTGAACTGCTTAGAAGCAAAATTAAATGTATTCTATTCCACTCTTTAATTTTTGATCCCAAATCAGTAACAGAATAGTTAGAACAGTTCTTGCTGTTGGAACAAGAATGCAAATTTGACTACTTCCTAGTCAGAAAGAAAATTGTAATGTTTTTATATGGCAGTAGAATTGAGTAGATATATTTCTTCTATGATTGATATTATTGCATGGAGTTTTTTGTATGAGCTTAAGTAGTTTTATTTCCTCTATTTACAGGTGGCTAAAAAAAGGAAAAGAACATGGAGGCAGATATAATCGTAAATCTTCGATGCAAGCTCAAAGAGGCTGAAGAAGAGCGACTAAAAGCTGCACAGTATGGTTTACAACTTGTGGAGAGTCAAAATGAATTACAGAATCAATTGGATAAATGTCGTAATGAAATGATGACCATGACTGAGGTAGGACTCTGGACTCCTCTGTCTGCAAGAGTGTGCTTAGTTATTGAGGATTTGTCCTGTTTAGCAATTAATAGTAGTAGTAGTTTATTCTTTTCTGAAGATTTTAGATCTAGTTCCCACCCTGCCCCATCTCTGTTAAAAAAGAATGAACTAAATGAATTCCTATTATTCTTTCCAACCTAGTGTATTCAGAGTTTGAAAGATCAAGTTATCATTAGAGTTATCATTACTCTCTTTGCCACATTTGCTACCCGATTTTGCTTTGTCTGCATACTTCCTAGATGACCTGGCTTGTTTCAGACCTCTAAACATCTAAGCGCCCCATGACAGTACACCAAGCCCTTAGTTCTCCTCTGAAGTCTAGGTTTGTGTGTTCAACTGCCCACTAACAGACTTCTCACACTTAACCCAGAAGAGTAGATTCCCTGCCCATTACCCAAATATTCTTTTATGGTTTTCTTTAGCTTATTTAGTAAATGTAATAGCATTCAGTTTCTTGAACACCAAAAATCTTTGGTATATAATGATTTATATATAGTTTTGGTTTCTTAATATACCAAAAATCTAGAACTTTTAGTCAATATCTTCCCTTTATTTCTCACATTTCATTCATTAATAAGTTCTAAGAACTGGACTACAAAGCAGGTATCTTTGCTACTGGCACTGTAGTCCAGATCACCATCATTGCTCCTAGACAAGTACTGTAGCCTTCTGGCCAGGTTGCCTGCTTCCATTGTTGCCATTCATGCCATTCGTTCTTCACTTAGTGTCCAAGTGGTCGTGGAAAATACACCAAAGGTCATGCCACAGCCCTGCTAAAAACCATACAACAGCTTCTAATTGCATTTACAACAAAATCTGAGCTCTTTCCTTGGGTTTATAGATCCCTATGTGATTTGACCCCTGCCAACCTTCTGACATCATCTCAAACTGCTTTGCCTTATTTTTGACTATACTAGTCCTCCCTTATGGGCTTTACGCCAGCTATTGCCTTTTTTGGAGTTGTTTACCCTTCAGTGCTCTTGGGTTGAGTCCTCAAACTTTAGCTTTCAGTTAAATGTCACCTTAGCAGAGAGGCCAACCCTTACTGTGTAATGTAAAGTTACCCTGATTCACTCTTTTTTTTTTTTCTTTTTTGAGACAGGATCTTGCTCTGTTGCCCAGGCTGGAATGCAGTGGCACAATCTTGGCTCACCACATCCTCCCCCTCTTGGGTTCAAGAGATTCTCCTGCCTCAGCCTCCCAAGTAGCTGGGATTATGGGTGTGTGCCACCACACCCGGCTAATTTTTGTATTTTTAGTAGAGACAGAGTTTCACCATGTTGGCCAGGCTGATCTTGAACTCCTGGCTTCAAGTAATCTGCCCGCCTCTGCCTGCCGAAGTGCTGGGATTACAGGCATGAGTCACTGTGCCCAGCCCTCATTCACTCTTAATTATCTGCATTGCTAATTATCTCTAGATTATAAACTCCATGAGAGAGGGAATTTTGTATGCCTTGTTCACTACTGTATCCTCAATGCCTGCCACAATTATTTCTTAAAAGAATGAATAAATAAATCTGAGTAATTTAGCAGATGCTCAGTAACATATTTAAACTTGAATCTCAACGTTGTAAATATGGCAGGTAAAAAATATCTGTAACAGGTAAAAATAACTAGTGATGGCAACCTTTGTGTTTCTACATAGTACTGTTGTAAACCAAGAACTCAGTGACAAGTCTTAAAGGCAAGGTAAAGATTACAAATATCACTAGTAGTAGAAAATAAAACTGTTATACTTAATCATTTTGAGTCATAACTTGTCAAATTTCAGTGTTTAGCAGTTAATACTCTTTGCCTTCCTTTAAAATAAAAAGGGTTTGGAGGGGAATATTTTATCATTTTTTAAAGCTTGTTGAAAGAGTTCATACTCGTAATGTTTTTAATGTCTAAACTTCCCTGTGAGTAAGCAAAAGCCCTTTTAATTACTCCTTTTGTCTCAGCACTGCATTCATTCTGATAGACATTTTGTGAACATTTCTCAGATGACTACATTCTGAAAGTAAAGGCTAATTGAGTATTTCTTTTTTTTCAACTATTTTACTACTACTACATTATGTTCAGAGCTACAAGCAGAGCATCTCATTATCAAACTAATAATTCTCATGAGGAAAGCTGAAATGCTGTTAAATGTTTTTTTGTTGTTAGCAGAGATTACTTGACATGTTGACATACCATGGAGCACATTTTACTTCCTCGACAGGGCACAGAAGCAGTAAGCTGTCCCTTGCATGGGTTTAACATAGTCTGGAAATACACCTCAGGGGTTTAGTAAAACTGATTAACTCCAAGGTTATTGCAGGTTTAACATGTCTTCGTTATTTGGAAAGCAGCAAATGCTTGAAATAAGAATGAAACAATTGAAGTTGAAAACTGATTATATGTAATGGCTTTAGGCTATTTTTATGTAATTGAATTGTAACTGAATCTGTTTTCAGAGTTATGAACAAGAAAAATATACCCTTCAAAGAGAAGTTGAACTCAAGAGTCGAATGTTAGAAAGTTTGAGCTGTGAATGTGAAGCTATTAAACAACAACAAAAAATGCACCTGGAGAAATTGGAAGAACAACTAAGCAGAAGCCATGGACAGGAAGTGAATGAACTAAAATCGAAGGTTGGGATATCTGTGTATTTCAGTGCAAAATATTCCATATTTATGCAACCATCTGTAAACTTTAGATGATAAAGATTTTCTTAAGTGTCAGCTTTGCAAAATAGCCAAGATCTAAGTCTTCATTATCTTAATATTGGGGGTGGGAACACTGAGATACAAGAGTTTGTCTAAGGGACTTGTATAAATTATATCCTACTAATTAAATACAATTATTTAATTTTGGTTGCTGGATATTTGTGAAGGTTTAGTTTAGTGACTAGCATGGCCTCCTTGCTGATAGTGAGTACAGCAGTCCCCTTGCAGAAAGCATGGTCTCCTAGCCTTCCCTGCAGTCAGTAGTATGCTTTGTAATTCTGTAACACAGACCAGTAGTTTCTTACTAGTTAATATGCATTACAGATGACACTTTGTAGTTTGTTTACTTAAGATAAACTAATATATGCGATCCAGTTCTTAAAATAATTCTGTGGGAAGGTACCATTATTATCTCCATATACCAGATGAGAGAGCCAGTGTTTAGACAGACTGAGTAAATTGGACACAATTCAAGAGCTAGAAATCTCCATCTACATTTGAACTGAGGCTGTCTGACTCCAAAGGCTGTGTTACTGAATCACTCTGTGTAGTCTACCAACATGTAACACTGGCTCCATTTCAAACATAAAAGCAAGATAAATGATTGGTCAGTGGTTTTCCCTTTTTCCAGCTACCCAGTGCTTTCAGGTTGCTTCTAAGGAATCCAGAACTTTTTATCATGGATCTGCTTTGTGTATAGTCTATACTCTGACTTTTCCAGACACCTCTCTACCAAAACTTGCCTGACTTTTGTCCTCCTTTCTCAGAAGTCTGTTATCCAATTTTCAGCTTTTTGTGTAGCAGCTTCTAAGATTTTTCTTTTTCTGTATACCACCTATACTATTACTTAATTTCTCATTGACTCTCTTTAAATGTTTACTGATTTTAAGAAACATCAATGAAATTACTTTTTTTTTCTTTTTTTTTGAGACAGAGTCTCACCCTGTCGCCCAGGCTGGAGTGCAATGGCCTGATCTTGGCTCGCTGCAACCTCCGTCTCCCAGGTTCAAGCGATTCTCCTGCCTCAGGCTCCTAAGTAGCTGAGGTTACAGGTGTGTGCCACCACGCCTGACTAATTTTTGTATCTTTAGTAGAGACGAGGTTTCACCATGTTGGTCAGGCTGGTCTCAAACTCCTGACCTCATGATCCGCCCCCTTCGGCCTCCCAAAGTGCTGGCACTACAGGCCTGAGCCACCGCACTTGGCCGAAATTACATATTTAAGCTTGGTTATTTTTTCCTACTATACACTAAAACAAACATGGCTATGTAAATATGCCTTTGTGTAATATATAATCATCTTGCATACCACTCTGACAGGTAATATCATCCAGCTTGTCTGAAACTAGTCGGATTTGAGGCCCTAATGACTGATAATGATGTGCTTTTTTCCCCCCCGATTGTTATTGTTATTTTTGCAATAGCTTTCATTACCTAAACAAGAGAGTAATATAGGGAGTATTCAGCAACTGAGGTAAGGCTAATTATTATAGAGATGGCTTTTATTTTTTTTTTTGGTGAAGCAAAGAGTAAATTTGTGAAATATTTTGTTTTGCTGATTTTCTCAAATCACTTGTGCCAAAATTTGGAGTTTTTTCCAATACCTTTTCTTCTCTTATTTCTCACATTAATTCAAGTTCTAAGAACTTGACCTACAAAACATCTATGATGCTACTGCCACTCCAATCCAGACCTTCATCATCTCCTCCCTAGACTACTGCTGTAGCCTTCTGACCGGGTTGCTTGCTTCCATTGTTTCTCTTCATGCCACTCTTTATTCACACAGTAGCCAAGTGGTCAGCATCACAGTGCCTCCAGATTGCTTCTGAGGCATCCAGACCCACCCTGATTACTCATGGATTGTTTCTGTGTTTATTAAACAAGGTGTGTCACTATCTGTTAAAAGATGCCTAACCTTGGGCAAATAGGAAACTGCAATAATGTCATCATTCAGTAAGTTTGGTTCAATCAGTTCAATCAGTGATGTTTTTTTAGAGAGAAAATAACTTTCGATTTATGACTTTTTTTTTATTTGGCTTTAGATAGAAAAACTGAAAGTGGAATTAGATGAAGCTAGGCTTAGTGAAAAGCAGCTGAAGCACCAGGTAGATCATCAGAAGGAACTCCTCTCTTGTAAATCAGAGGAGCTACGTGTAATGTCTGAACGTGTGCAGGAAAGCATGTCTTCAGAGATGCTGGCTCTTCAAATTGAGCTGACAGAAATGGAGAGCATGAAGGTAATTTTTATGGCGTGTGGTTCTCAGGGTTTTCTCTTTCTTTTTCTGGCATATTTTTACATGTTTTGGTAGTAATTCTTAAGAGCTAGTTTGAAGGCTGAAACATTTTTTGACCTAATTTGCATCTAACTAATTAAAAAGTGGGGTTTTTTTAGGTGGATGACTTCAATCATAATATAGCTGTAGATTGTATGATTATGTAGGGCAGCCTTTCTTTTAAATTAATGAAACCTCTGGAAGAATTTAGAGGCATATACTCTGATCCCGGTTTTTATCGTTAAGAGCCCAGTGTAAAATGTTGGCTCAGTGGAAGCTGAAATGCATGGGAACTTAGTTTTTTCGTTGAAAGCTAAGTTTAATTAAAAATTAAAGCCTGCAATTCATAGGGGAAAAAGGGCAGTCTCTAAAATCATTTGTTTCCTTGGTGAAAAATTTAACAGTAATAGTAATTTCTATTATTTTAGTATGTACCTGACAACTTTTGACTGGTTGTTTAGTTTTAATTTTGGATGTGAACCACAACTGAGATAAACTGAGCAGTTGCCAAATGAAAGATTATTCAAGAGAATTTCCTCCTTTTCAATTCCTATTAAATAGACCACCCTCAAAGAAGAAGTGAATGAACTACAATACAGACAAGAACAGCTAGAACTTCTTATTACTAACCTAATGCGCCAGGTAGACCGGCTTAAAGAGGAAAAAGAGGAGCGAGAGAAAGAAGCAGTTTCTTACTATAATGCCTTAGAGGTACTATGATTATAGTAACATCATCTTTTCCAATTTATCATAACTTATTTTTTTGCTAATCTAATATCTATTGCCTAAATTGTTTTCTTTTGAATTTAGAAAGCTCGTGTAGCAAATCAAGATCTTCAGGTACAGTTGGACCAGGCACTCCAGCAAGCCTTGGACCCCAATAGTAAAGGCAACTCTTTGTTTGCAGAGGTACTTACAAGTATTCTAACTACTAAATTGGCATTTTCCTTTACTACCAGAACAATTAAGCATGTTAATATTTTGTAGGTGGAAGATCGAAGGGCAGCAATGGAACGTCAGCTTATCAGTATGAAAGTCAAGTATCAGTCACTAAAGAAGCAAAATGTATTTAACAGGGAACAGATGCAGAGAATGAAGGTATAGAACTATCACTATCAAAGGTTTATTAAACAAATTTTGTGTCAGCATTACATGTCTGAATACATCAAAGAAACTATCTTTTCCTACAAGGAGTGTACATACAGTTATTTCTAGAACTGCATGATTTCAAAAAATCAGTTTTGAAATTAAAAGATTCATTTATACTTTAAAAATCTTGGAATAAATATTTAGTAATAGTATATTTAGCAATGATTTTGTTTGTTTGTTTTAATGGTTACTCACTAGCTTTGACTTAAATCTTTCTTTGTGGAGTAGAAGAAAGAAAAGTATTTATTTCTTATTCTTGGCCTGATGTCTTTCCAAGCATAGCCCTAGGGTTCCTACTTCAGCTGAAACTTGCTGCCTCACCATTCCTCTGCTCTTTCACCAAGGCTTATTGTGGAGTGAAATTTGTATTATTCAGGGTTCCCTTTCCTTGTAGCCCCTCAAGTCAAGCACATAGACCTTTTTAATTTTACGGATTTTGTTGATGTCATTCTAGCCAAATAAGAAGTAGCAGAAAAACGTGGAAATTAGAAAGATTTCAGTATTCTAACAGTCCTTAGAATACTGATCCCTCATCCATTGTGCCTTGCTCTACTGAGGTTGTTGGAATCTGGAAAGGCTTCCTTCCTTTTATTCAGATGATGGGCTTTGCCAAAGAAATGGGAAAGATTAATGATTAAACTTGGGTGTTAGATAGATTTGGGTTTGAATCATAGTTTTGTCACTTTCTAGCTCTGTGACCTTGGATAAGTATTTTAACTTTCAAAGCATCAGTACCTCATCTATAAAGTGGAGATGATAGAACCCCCTCTTAGAATTGTCCTACAGTTAAATGAAAGTGTGGTAAAATACTTACCTGCTACTTGGCAAATGAGTGTTTAATGAACAACAGCTGTGAATTTTATTTCTAAGGCAGACCATGCTGCCTCATTTCCTGAGACTCTCCCCTGTCTGGGAAGTATTTCTTAATAAATTGTCTCATATTTACTTTAGTTTTCTTACAGTATTTGTCAGGGATACTTTTAATCTGCCAATGTTGCGTGATGTCCCAAACTATCTTTAAGAGACTAGAAGCATTCTGAATCTTAGGCTAAGTGGGCCTAGCTTCCAATCTGAAACAGGAACAAAAAGGATATCCTTTAAAATGTTAAAAGTCATCTGCAACCTCATATCATTGCTTGCTTTACTCAAAACTATATTTAAACTAATAGGCACTCTTTTCAACTCCAGAAATTTCCAAAAACAGAAAGAAATGCTAGGTTTAGAGTCTACTTAATTTCCCTTTGATAGCTTTGCAACTCCAGATTTGTGGGTAGATATAATTAGGTAAGTTGAGTGCTGCTCTTAAAAAATTAAAACATGGTATATTGAAGATTGCCCCAGTATCCCAAGATAGCCTTTTATCTTTGCTTTTCATGTCATTTGTGAATCTAATATTTGTGGCTGTCAGTAGCTTAGTTTTCCTCACTTAATTAAAGTTAATTAAAATTTTTGAGAAACCCATCAGAACCTTAATGAGAGCGAGTGCTTATGATAAGCAGTCTGCAGCATTTGGCCAGGCTTACTTACCAGTTCAGTGGTGTGCTGTCAGACCACAGCCATGCAGGTCAGTTTTATGTTTCACCCAAAGTACAAATAATTATGTTACAGACTTCAGTTATCATTCATAAGTAGTCAGAGTAAGTATTCATATGTTATGTCTATAACAAAATTTATTATTAGATTAGAAATAGCTAATTAGTTTTGTTTCCAAAATGAGTTCAAAGTAATGTAGTATAAACTATGAATTATATCAAAAAAGTAGTTATCAGAATCTTTCTCTCACTTAATTTTATTAGAGGGGGTACTTGTATTTTTCTAGTTACAAATCGCCACGTTGCTACAGATGAAAGGGTCTCAAACTGAATTTGAGCAGCAGGAACGGTTGCTTGCCATGTTGGAACAGAAGAATGGTGAAATAAAACATCTTTTAGGTGAAATTAGAAATCTGGAGAAATTTAAGGTATGTGTAACACTTAAAAAACACACATCCAAATTTTGATTTGAATACCTTAAAATTTGGTTTGTATTTTAAGTTTAAAATATTAATAAGTATCTTGTGGGAGATACTTTGAGACTAAGTAAATGCCTGTTTCTCCTTACACTTAAACATCCATTGGTGATTCTTGCCTGAAATATAATTCTGTGATGATTGCTAAATGGGTAATTCCATCACTTCTATATTTATAGTTGGAATTCTAATAAAGGGACAGAAAAGAAAAATCTTTTCCCTTATTCATTCATTTATTTATATCAGTATAGCATTATGGATTCTTTATTCTGTGAGTTATAATCCATTGCTTGCTTTATTTACTCTGATATTCAAATTGTCCCAGATTTGGTAGTCAAAGTGCTCTTACTTGAATACTTCCTTACTCTATGACACAACAAGGTTTTCCTAGCTCACCTGCCCCAGCCCTGGGATTAGCATTTCTTCAACGAACATTGGTTTATTTTAGTGGATAATGGTATTTGTGTAAGCATTTGTGTGTGTGTGTGTGTATATATAAGAATTCACCCATGTTTTCTACTAATACGTGTGTGGTTTCATTTTTTACATTTAAATATCTGATCGCCACGGAAGTTTATTTTTGTGTATAATTTGAGGTATAAATCTAATTTTATCTTCTTATAAATAAGTAGGCACTTGTCCCAGAGTCATTTGTTAAAAAATCGATCTTGAGCCCAGTGATTTGAGTTGACACCTTTATCATACATCAGGTTTCCATGTATACTTGAGTCTGTTTCTAAATTTCCTGTGTATGCCATTGGTCTGCTTCTGTGTGTGTCAGTACCACACTGTTTATCTGGTAGGACTATTTCCTCACTATACTTTTTAATTTTCAGTGTTTTCCTGCCTATTTTTGAATGTTAGTTTTCATTTACAAACATCTTGTCTAGCACCAAAAAAAGCTTGTTGGCTTTCTATTAAAATTGCATGCAATTTAAGATTTTATAAATTAACTTAGGGAACATCGATATCTTCATTAACCTCCTAATGAACTAAAGTTTATAAATGACAAATTTTTGTAAATGTTAATAACCTCTTAGGCATTCTAAATTATAGCCATTAGTATGTCATAAAATCTTAATTAAGTTTACAAAACTTTATTTCTGTGTCTTATAAAAACTGTTGAAAGAACTACAAATTTGGTTAAATTGGCAGCCTTATGTGTTCCATCAATGGGCTCAGAACTGTACTTTGAAAATTATGGCCTTAAATCAGGGGAATTTTATTTATAACCTCTGAAATTGTTTCAAGTTTTTAAGCACATTTACCTTTTTTATCCCACTAGAGAAATGTATAGTTTCCATCAGTCTCAGAAGAGTTTGCACTACATTCTTGCCTGGGGTGGGGGGAAGAACCTCAGAAGAGGGGGACACCAAATATAAATGGAAGGCTCTCATCTTTCTTTCATATTTTTCCAGTTTATGGTTTTGTTACAAAGGCCAGAATTCAATCCAGCAGGCATTTATTTTTCTATTTTAAAAGCCAGGAGAGGGAAGGAAGCCAGAGCATATAGGTAAGGCTAGAAGCCTAGGCCTTGGAGTCAGATTTGGGTTCAGATCATCTCTTCTTGGTTTACTTTCCTCTGCATTTGGAGCCTGTTTCCTTATCTGTAAGAGAGGAATGGTAATTATTTTACCTACTTCAGAAGGCAAATAAGTTAAGTGGGTAATTCTTAGCGTACTACACGCCAAGGAAGTGATGGTGCCGTTACTAATAAACATAACGAACTTTATTTGTTGTTTATTTTAAGTAATACAATTTTTTTTGCTTTTTTAAGAATTTATATGAAAGTATGGAATCTAAGCCTTCAGTCGACTCTGGTGCTCTGGAAGATAACACCTATTATACAGATTTACTTCAGATGAAGCTAGATAACTTAAAGTAAGTGTCTGGGTTGGTAGATGGGAAGATGGACCTGTCACTTGCTTATAATAGTGGTGTCAGTGACTACAAGTTTTTTTTGAAATTGCCAAAGGAAATTTTCCAAAAAGAAAGGTAACAAAAATATCTTTGTGCAGATATTTATGCATGAATACATTTGAAAGAGTATTTCCTCCTTGTCTGTTTCCTTTCAAGATTGCATGAGTATTTTTTAAATTTAACACTACTATTGTTAAGGATTAAATTGTTATTGTTTCTTTGTTACTAAAAACCCCAGAAAAATGTATTTTTAACTAAGAGTTCAAATATGCAGTGAAATATTTATACCCCTACACTTATTATATGCTGTTTTAATACTCGTTGGTTCTCCTTTTTTTATTATCATAGCAAAGAAATTGAAAGCACTAAAGGTGAATTGTCCATACAGCGAATGAAAGCATTATTTGAGAGCCAACGGGCTCTGGATATTGAGCGAAAACTTTTTGCAAATGAAAGATGCCTCCAGCTTTCAGAAAGTGAAAATATGAAACTGAGAGCTAAACTAGATGAATTAAAACTAAAATATGAACCTGAAGGTATATATGTCTCATATATTTTTGTCTTTTAAATCATGAGTAATCCTGAGAAGTTATACCAAATTTTTTTTACTGTAGTTTTATGCAAATCCTATTTACAAACTCATTTGTAGTTATGTACCTATAGTTAATAAAGCAAATTTATTATGTAAAATGTGTAGGAAAATTCCGAGAGAACTGGATACTGGGTGTGCATGAATATAACATGTATCCTTTTTGGATATCAAAATCCATCATACTGTATAGTAGAAACTTGAGATTTGAGACTTTCCCATTTTAAGCTTACAGTATTTTATATCATACCTCATAGTTTAATTATGTTGAAGCAGCTGATGTTTGGAAGCTATACGAGGTAGGACTGTTTTTAGAAAATCTAAAGTAATGGAGACTTTAAGAAGGTGGGTCTTTATCTCTGCCTCTGATGGAAGTCTGGAGGAGGCCTTCCAGGACTGGGAAAGCACTCCATGGTATCCAGATTTCAGGTTTCTTGTGTGTGTTGGTCTGCTGCCATCCCGTTGAGCAGAATTTAGTCATGCAGCCTCACCTGCCGACAGGAAAGGCTGAGAAATGCAGTCTTGATTCTCAGGGGCCATGTTCCTCACTAAATATTGGGAATTATTTTATTAAAGAAGAACAGTGAGCCAGGTGTGGTGGCTCGTGCCTGTAATCCCAGCTCTTGGGGAGGCAGAGGCGGGAGGATAACTGTGCCCAGGAATTTGAGATTTGCTTGAGCAATATAACAAGACCACATTCTCCCCCAAAAGTAGGGGGAAAAAGGAAAGAACAATGAAACATATTAGGAAACATCTAGCAAGTCTAATGACTGAGCTAGAAAGTAGCCTAACCATACAGTCTCTGCATCTTATATACTACAGAGAGTGAAGTTTACCGTACATAAATTCAAAAACAAAAGGCCAAGTGTGAAGGAGTGTAAGAATGTGATGGTTCTACAACACCCCTTCCCTGAAAGAGTGTTACGTGTTTTAGGTTAAGGATTCTCAACAAGTTTTTGTCCCTGCACTCTGCACATGCCTTAGTCTCTCATATTGTCTCAGTGAACTACTATGATTCTCAGCGATAGTGGGGAGGTTGCCAAAAATTGGAAGGTTTTTACACAATTTTAAAAGGCTTCTCTTGCTCTTACTCTTTGTTTTTCTTCCATGATTCTGATAGGCTCCCCTGATTAAGAATTATCCATTATGAATTTCAAACATCTGTTGAACTGAACACAGCAAATAGACAAGAGGCAGGGTAGTGAATCCTGATAATGTGGATTTCAAAGGAGCAGTGCCAGAAAAGGGGAAATCGTGGTCTAAAAGCAACAATGTAGAGCAAAACCAGCAACCCCTTGTGCTACCAGGGTTCCTCAGACTCCACGAACATTTTGATTTTGAAAATGAAACACATTGGTAGTGGGCATAGGGAGAAGCTATCAGAGCAGTTAATTCAGTGGCTGTGTGTATGACCTGCTTAGATAGAATGATATTAGGCCATGAGGATAGAAGGCATTGCAGTAGTCTTTGATGAGACATGATAGGATTGGATTAGGGAAGTATCCATCATAAAAGTAGTCCGATTCTGCTTATATTTTGTAGGTAGAGCTAGCAGGCATATATTACCAATATTCAGAAAGTTTGGCCTATTCTTATTTCATCCTTCTAACACACAATACCAAGTGAAGTGGGTGCTTTTAATCCCCATTTTACAGATAAAATGAAGCTCAGAGAGGTTAAAAAGACATGGCTGTCAAATACGAGGATTAGGATTTGAACCTGGACTCTGCCACTGCCTCTTCATCTCCACTTTGAGATCTTATGAACCACCTTTATCAAAACACCAGGAGAGAACACTGAAGCCTTCATGCCTAGAGTCAAAATGTTGAATTCCCAAGGAAAAATATATAGCCAAATAAACTTTGAAATAAAGAGTTTATATAGATTCCATGATAAAGAATAAAAGGTAGAAACAAACGATGCATTTCAGTGAGGAGATGGTTTGATTTTAAGAGAAGGGAAAAAGGTATACGTATAACTAGTTCTGGCTTCTTGTGTTGATTGTGTCTTTGTTTTCTTAGATTTTTTTCTTGTCCCCACTCATTTTTATTCTCAGAGACAGTTGAAGTGCCTGTACTGAAAAAGAGGCGTGAGGTGCTGCCTGTGGATATTACCACCTCTAAAGATGCATGTGTCAACAACGGTGCTGTCGCGGGAGAAGTTTATCGATTACCGCATCAGAAAGAGGAGACACAGTCCTGTCCTAACAGTTTAGAAGATAACAACTTGCAATTAGAAAAATCAGTTTCTATACACACACCAATAGTCAGTCTCTCTCCTCACAAAAATCTGCCCATGGATATGCAGCTGAAGAAGGAAAAGAAATGTGTGAAACTCGTAGGCGTTCCAGCTGATGCTGAGGCCTTAAGTGAAAGAAGTGGAAACACCCTTAACTCTCCCAGGTTAGTGTCCTGTTTTCCTCCAGGCAGCCAGCAGACCTCTCCATCTCTCCTCTCTCGCTGCATGAACTGTGCTGTCTGTTTCTTTATCTACTTTCTTACTATTGCATGCAGTATAATTCCTCAATTTCATCTACCTACCTTCAACTTTTCCAGAACTTTAAGAAAGACTAAACTGATTGCAAAGGGAAAGGACTCCTGAATAAGGGAATCACATTAAAAAGTTACATGTTTCTGTTTCATGAAAGGAAATATCACAGTCTAACACATCTCTGAATGTTTTATCAGTTTGAATAAATGTTCTGTTATTTTTCTCCTGGTTCAAGCATGGCCATGAAAGAAAAATCAACTTACTTTCTCAAAGGGCTTTCTAGTAGTCTGAGAAATTTCAGCCTTCTGGAAAACTTAGGTGAATTTTTTATGTCTTTTGAAGTTGCTTATTCCTAGGCTTGCAAAAATGGGCTTTAATACTTATTTTGACATTTTTACATATCAAAGCTTTTCATTGTTTCCAAAACTTGAAAGCCTCTAGTTTCTGCATAATTGAGTTTTTTACTCAAAGAAATAGTGTCAGATATGTGTGTCTGAAGGAATTAATGTCCCAAGGGCTTTGTCCTTTAAAAATAATCGAGGTCAGAAGGTAAGAGAAAGTGAATGGAAGGGAAAGGTAAGTAGGAGTGGCTGAGGCTCAAGTTCTGGATGTGCACAGCAGAAGAAGCGAATGAGGAAATTAGAGAAAGTGAAAGATGGAGGATGCATGCAATGGAATTGTTAGAGGCATTTAAAACAAATATCTAGACATTCAAAAAGATGTGCCAATAGCTAGCCTGGATTATCTCGTATGAAATGCGATCTTGAAGGTGCTACTAGGGCTACATTAGTCTTAGAGAGTAGAGACAGATTAATAAGACATTTTACTAATGTGCATTTGAGTAGAGAGAGTAAGACACAGCCCAGTGTAAAAGGGCTTCCTTATATGTTTTATCTGATTTCTCTCCAAGTCTTCAGTGCTACTAAATGTAATACTCAACAGTAAAAGCACTTTAACAATGTTAGTGCTATTATTATAAGGGATAGTAATTTATTACTCCCTCCTTGGAGTTTTATATAATGTTATAAGCTCTGAGTCACATAAAATAAAAGCTTACTATTCTTAAGGAAAAAGTAACTTCAAATGAGTATCTGCCACATACACATGGTTTCAAAGAGTTCTGAAATGAATCCAGCAGGTTATGCCTGTGTATATGTATGTGATGCATTGTATAAACATCCTTGACCACTGTGTATTTCTGGAGGTGAATTTCCAGAATTGATAAGTGCCAGCCTTGCTATCTGTATTGTCTTCATTCCTTTTTCTGCCTTTTTTTGCTTGATAAAAATCACTTAAGCAAATGTATGTGGCTAATTGACTCAAGTAGCACGTTGGAAACTTTTTGTCTTGTTAGTTAAACAAAAAATAAAATACCACAAAACGTTTGTGTGTGTGTGTGAGTCCATCTGCTAACTTCAAGATGTTTCCAACTCTTTGTTTTCTGCATGTTTAACTTAGATACACAATCCTAAGATAATTTTGGTACAATAAAGACGGCTTTTATTGGGAACTTTACTATTGTATGCTTTACAAAACTAATGAGTGTTCTTGTTGCTGAGAATCTTTACATGCCTTTAAGAATATCTCTCTACTATTTATCTTTTCTTTATTATTCTACTAGTTGAAACTCAATTTTTTAATAAGAAACAAATAGACATCTATTCATGCAGCTCAAGATTCCATGTTATTTTTGTCTTGCCTTTTGTATGTCATGTTAACGTTAAAATATTGCTGTAACATTTCAGTTTTTGTGTTAGGTGTGCTTATCTTGATAGGGGCCCTGTCATATTTTAATTCTTTAATTTAGGCCTTGCCATGACTTTTTAAAGATATTCTTTAGACTTAAAAAATAATCGGCCCAGCGCAGTGGCTCGCCTGTAATCCCAGCACTTTGGGAGGCTGAGGCAGGTGGATCACGAGGTCAAGAGATCAAGACCATCCTGACCAACGTGGTAAAACCCTGTCTCTACTAAAAATACAAAAATTAGCTGTATGTGGGAGTGCACACCTGTAGTCCCAGCTACTCGGGAGGCTGAGGCAGGAGAATCACTTGAACCCGGAGGTGGAGGTTGCAGTGAGCTGAGATTATGCCACTGCACTCCAGCCTGGCGACAGAGTGAGACTCTATCTCAAAAAATAATAATAATAATAATTGAACCTATTGATATAAAAAGACTCTTTTAGAGAGCCAGTGACTTAATATTCTTAACAGTATTAGAATCAACTATATTTTTTTTCCTTGAATACCATGCCTCATTGGAGGCCCATTATACTGGGGGTTTGTTTCTTCCATCCTTCATAACCACATTTGAATTCAGAGTGGATACTTTAATGCCTGTAGGTTAGCTGCTGAATCAAAGCTTCAAACAGAAGTTAAAGAAGGAAAAGAAACTGCAAGCAAATTGGAAAAAGAAACTTGTAAGAAATCACACCCTATTCTATATGTGTCCTCTAAATCTACTCCAGAGACCCAATGCCCTCAACAGTAAAGACTTTTCTTTAATAAGAGTATGGTACCACTTGCCTCAAAAGTTACTGTGGTGCTTAAGATTGTCTTTATCTGACATATATCACCTTCTGGGTTATTTATTCATTGTGCCAGGACCTGGCATTTTCATGTTCCTTTGACCAAGTGTTCAGAATTTGCTTGACTCTAACCTGAAGAGCTTCTTAAGTGATGACCCTTCATGGAGCTTCTGTGGCAGTGAATAAACTATTAACTGAAGGAAAATGTTATAATTAATGTATCTATTTGCTGCATTGTATATGGATTAAATAATAAAAACACTTAAGTAATCTACCTTCAGAGCCATGTATTTGAGAACACTCAAATCATTATATTTTCCTATGTACTTTTTTTTATAAACTTAGCTTTAAACTGTGTTGTAAAAATAGGAAAGTTGTAAACTATGTTGTAAAAATAGGAAACGTGGCTAAAAAATATACATTATATTGTTTCAGGATTTTGTCAGTGTTTAAAGAACCGATGTTCATCTTTGTATTTATATACATGATTTAAATTGTGTCTAAAATTTTAAATAAAACTGCAATGATTTATCCTTAAATTTCTTACTCTGTATAGGTAACAGGATGTTATCAAAAGGGAATAAAAAGCACTTTGGGAGGCTGAGGCGGGTGGATCGCTTGAGCGCAGGAATTCGAGACTAGCCAGGGCTGCGTGGCAAAATCCCGTATCTATAAAAAAAAATACAAAGAATTAGCTGGGCACGATGGTGCACACCTGTCGTCCCAGCTACTCTGGAGGCTGAGGTGGTAGGATCCTCTGAGCCCAGTAAGGAGGCTGAGGCTGTAGTTGAGCTGTGATCACACTACTGCACTCCAGCCTGGGCAACACAGCAAGACCCTGTCTCAAAAAAAAAGCGGGGAAAATAAATAAGGGGAAAAAAGAAATGTCAGGAATTCTTAATTCCCTTATGTATAGTTTTGTGTATAATTTTATGGTTAATTATGTGTACATATACAGATGGTCCCTGACATAATAATGGTTTGACTTAATGATTTTTCAACTTTTCAGTGATACAAAAACAGTATGCATTCAGTAGAAACTACTTCAGGTACCCATATGACCATTCTGTTTCTCACTTTCAGTACCGTACTCAATAGATTACATAAGATATTCAACACTTTATGATAAAATAGACTTTGTGTTAGATGATTTTGCCCAGTAGTAAACCAATGTAAGTGTTCTGAGCACATTTAAGGCAGGCTAGGCTAAGCTATAATGTTCATTAGGTTAGGTGTATTAAATGCATTTTTGGCTTAATATTTTCAACTTATGATGGGTATATCGAATTATATAACCCCGTTGTAGGTCAAGGAGCATCTACATATATATATAGAGAGAGAGAGAGAGAGACATTTAATTGTAAACTTTCCAAATACTCTTTCATTTAAATGATTATAGTTTTACAATTTAATTTCATATATTCTATAGGTAGGAGAATTCGGGCTTTCCAGAGAAATAGAATCAGTAGGATGTGTATGTGTGTACAGAGAAAGATTTATTTTCAAGAATTGGTTCACATGGTTGTGGGGGCAAGTCCAAACTTGTAGGGTGGGCCAGCAGACTGGAGACAAGGGAAGGGAAGAGCTGATGTTGAGTTCCAGTCCAAAAGCCATCACACTAGAGACCCAGGGAGATCACTGCAGTTCAAGTTCAAAGGCTGTCTGCATCAGAATTTCCCTTTGCTGGGGGAGTTGAGTCTTTCCATCGAGGACTTCAATTCTTTGGATGAAACCCATTCACATTAGAGAAGGCAATCTGCTTTAAGTCACTGGTTTAAATGCTGATCTCATCCGAAAACATTTGCACAGAAACGTTCAGAATAATGTTCGACCACGTATCTGGGCACTGTGGGCCAGCTAAGTTGACATTCACAATGGGCATCTCTTCCAATTAGTCTATTGAAGCTGCTACTCATGCCTGTAGTCCCAGCACTTCGGGAGGCCGAGGCGGGTGGATCACCTGAAGTTGGGAGTGAGACCAGCCCGGCCAACATGGTGAAACCCTGTCTGTACTAAAAATACAAAAAAAAATTAGCTAGGCATGGTGGCTCATGCCCGTAATCCCAGATACTTGGAAGGTGAGGCAGGAGAATCACTTGAACCCCGGAGGCATAGGTTGCAGTGAGCCGAGATGGCACCACTGCACTCCAGCCTGGGTGACAGCGTGAGACTCTGTCTTCAAAAAAAAAACAGTCTATTGAAACATAAGTAAAAAGAAATTAAATTACATAAGCTTGTTTATAAGTTAACATAAATTGCTACATAAATCTACATAAATTAATAAACTTGTTTGAATTTTCTGCAAAAAACATACTCTAAGTAGAATATTCATATTAGATATTAAATAACATGTCTTGCAAAAAGAAGCTGAAGGCTCTAGGGAACTGCATTAGTCCGTTCTCGTACTGCTATAAAGAAATACCTGAGACTGGATCATTTATAAAGAAAAGAGGGTTAATTGGTTCTTGGTTCTGCAGGCTGGTAGCATGGCTAGGGAGGCCTCAGGAAACTTCCAATCAGGTGGAAGGCGAAGGGGACGCAGACACATCTTCACATGGCTGGAACAGAACAGAAGGGCCTGGTGCTACACACTTTAAAACCAGGTTTTGGGAGAACTCACTATTACAAGAAAGGAAAGGGGACATCTGCCCCCATGATTCAGTCACCTCCCACCAGGCCCACCCTCCAACACTGGAGATTACAATTTGAGATGAGATTTGGGTAGGAACACAAATCCAAACCATATCAGGAACAAGTATTTTCAAGCTGAGGATATCAAATGAGTGATCATATTCATACAGCATGTAAGAGAATGTAGATCAATTCCTTCCAACATGAGCTGTGTGCTAGGGATACAAAACTAAGCCCTTAAAACTCACAGTTTAAAACCCCCACGTAGATGAGAAGTGGTAGTAGTGGTGTTACTAGTAATTGTTTTATCTGAAATTTGAATCAACCTAATGTGCTAGGCACTCTTCCAAGCCCTTTCATGTATTACCATGTTAAACCTTCCCAACATCTCTGAGCTAGATATTACAGTTACTGCCATTTTAAAGATGATGAAACCAAAGAGGTTAAGTTACTCATCCAAAGTCACAGGTGCTCATAAATGATGAAAAAAATAGAGGTTATAATGACATTGTGTACAAAGTGCTATAGGAACAGAGAGAGGGAAATGAAACTGCCTAGGGACATTGGAGATTTTTGTCGTCTCCAAGAAGAGGTTGTTTAAGAAGTTTCCTGAGCCAAATAGAGAATAGCACTACAAGTAGAAGAAATGGCTCCTCAAAACAAAGGCATGAAATGACATTTCTAATTCAGCAAACTGAAGACTTAGAAATGACTGGAAGTTTAGGACTTGTGAATAGCAATCAATAGTAAATTAAATGTGAATAAATTACGAGCAACATTGTGAAGAGCTCAAATTTGGGAAATCCTTTTACAAACAAAAACACAGACATAAACAAATTAAGCAATTGTGATTGAAGGTTGAACAGGGATGACAAGGGAACCTTATCCATCTAGCTTCTGCCTTCCCTCCCTTACAGACAGGTATTCTATTAAGTCTTGAGTCTTCTAGGAATGTATTTTGAAAAATCATCCCTGTAAGTGATGGGAAGCAACTGTTAATTGATATTAGCAAAATAGTGCCATCATTCAATTTATTTTTAGTAAAAGTCCAAGGACATAATAGAAAATATATAGAGAAAAAGATTTAAATGGAGGCAGAAAAAAAAAGACTAGTTTGACCATTTGATAGTCCAAATAGGAAATGTAAGCACAAACTGAAGCAGTCGTAGTGGGAATATAGAATGGTAGTTGGATTCAAGATACGGTTTAAGCAAAGCAAAGTTGTCAG